CAATTAATGGGTTTTAGTTAATGTGCAATTTGTATCTTTTGTGTGTGTGTTTGTGTGCATGCGCATTTGCACGTGTAGTCTTGCTTGAAGACTATGCCCTTCCCACAAAGCGAGGGGATTTTGCCCAATTACCAAAAAAAAGGGGCACATATTACTTGAAAGTCATGAAGATTGAAACCCGAATTTTCTTTGTTCTTCTCATGACATGATATGAAAATCACTCTTTTATTGTGTATTGGACTATTGGTAATATTCAACAAACTACACTACTTAAGTTATTTAATTAAATTATTTTTTATGTATAAATACTCTATTTACTTAATATAATATTCAACAAACAATACTACACAATAATATGATTTTAATAATATATAAAAATAAAATAATATATTTTTAAATCATATATAAATGCTTTTTTTAGTTTTATTTTTATATAAGTATTTAATATATCTAATAAAAATTAAATAAAAGTAAGTTTTCAATTTTTTATTTGAATTTTATTTTTTAAAGTAATTTTATTTAATATATTTTAATCATGATTTATAATATATATTATATATTTATTTTTTATTATTATTTGTTAATTTTATTTTTTGAAAAAATGATTCCCAAGCACATGGGAATGAAAAATCCTTCCATTTACTATGAAATGGCTAATCCCATGGAGATGAGTTTTGGCATTACCATTGGAATGGTCATTCCTTTCCACAAAATATATCAATCATGAGATAATGAATAAGGGAATGATCATTCCATTCTTATGACATTCCTTCATACCAATCATGCCATAAGTACTATAATATCGTCGAATCTGATAAGTGAGGTGAATCATTTTAATTAAAATAATAATGTTATTTTATAAGAATTATTTACAATTTTGAAGTAAAAACTTGTATTTATTAAAGAATAATAAAAATAAATTTTTAATTACCATATGTTAACTTCATGTGTAGTTAGTACCCAAAATTGAGCCTAGGCTGGCCTTAACGTGGATCCGCCAGTGAAAATGCATACTTATGTTATCAAATATCATATTATTTTTTATAGTACAACATATCAATTTGAAAGTATACACACATATATATACATATATATATATATATGTGTATGTGTGTGTGTCGAACTGTACTGTTAACATTGAACCTAGCTAAGACCATTAATGAAAGAAATCAAAATCAAAAAAGCATTTCCAGTTCATGTTCATATAATTAGGATCATAATTTCGATCCTACGGATGAGAATTGTGCTCTAATTGAGTTTTTACCGTTAGATCGACACACACTCATATAAATATTCGTGTAAATATGTGACCAATCAATAATAAAAACTCGGTAATTTGATTAGATAATTCAATTTATTTTTTGCAAATCTCTTCTCAACAGTAAGCTAATATAATAATAATATTCATAGGCCATTGTGTTCCATTCCAAGGTTGGACCACACATAAAATAAATCTCCATCTCCAAGTTTCAACGCATCAAGGCACAAGCTATTCTATCCTTATTAATGCCTGGCCACTTGGCTTCAATTCTCTCTCTCTCTATTTCAATAAAATATGTATGTAAAACGATCAAAAAATAAAATAAAAAATGTATGAAATTTAAGATTTGTCCTCATCTTAAACAGCTTTTATGCGTCACTCATTTCATTGGGGGTGGGTTTTTTTGGCTTTCCAAGATTCAAATTAGCCCTGCAAAATATAATGTAAATCATTCTTACACATCATATCAACTTTAATTCACTATACATTCAAACACATAATTTTAACTATACTTATCACTTCCAATCATCTATCTCTTACTTTTACATCACATCAATTTTAATTATTCTATTTTAAATATTATTCTGATACAAACTTAAAATCACACCAGCAACTAACAATACTAACTTTTTTAAAATTAATCATAACTAACAAAAATAAACCAATCACACAATAATATATTTGTAAACAAGCAAAGCCATTAGTATCACCTTTCCCATAAATTCATTTATGAAAGTGATCTAAGAGCATCTCCAATGTGACTTTTGACATTGCAAAAAATTATCCATATCATCAACTTTTGAAAGTTTATTACTAATTTATTCTCCAATGCATCTTGTCATTAGCTCTTTCATGATGATGTGGATGGCATTTAATGTTAACAATGTTGAACTCACTTTCTAATATCTAACACCATGTTAAACATGATGACTCATTAATTCACTTTATATTTGGTTTAATTTTTTATTATTCTTGTATTAATGAATTATTATAATTGGTCCACCTATACAAATAAATTCTTATCAAATTGGTGCATTGGAGATACTAGTTTGATTCATATTTTTAGTCTTTTAACATTATTCTTATGTGGATTAACATTACAATCATCAATTGACATGTGTTAAAAATTATTGCCTTTCAACACCATAGCATTGGAGATGCTCTAACATTTAGACAAGTCACTTTGTCATTTTTTTTTTAATAAAAATAAAAATTTATGCTATGAAACAAGTTAATTCATTAAACAAGACAAAGCTGCCTAATTAAATGTGCACACACCTAATTAAACATCTTCCTGCAGATACAGCTGTGCTTGTTCTTCACCTCAATTTCTTCAATTTAAAAATTTCCAATTTGTTCCCTAAATAAGCTTTGCATTACCATTTAAAAACTACAAGCTGTGTGAACCTGTTGTTCAAATTTCATCATTTCTCTAATAAGAAAATGACCCAAAACTCACGTCTCTCTCTCAGATCTCAAAAAATAAATTAAATACCGCTTATAGTTAAATTAATTTGAAGACAACCAAATATTAATAAATTGACATCTAAATATTATTAAATTTTTTCCACGAAATTTTACTTTACATAACAGTTGTTGTATGTTGTATAATCATACAAGTGTCTTTCAATTGAAATGCTTGGTTACGCAAGGATATGTAATCTTGGTTATAACTTTTCATGTGTAATATTATATTTAGAAATTAATAAGAAAATTTAAGTGAATTTCATAAATGAAATGTACAAAAATGCAATATAATTTAGACTGAGACTGGAGTTCGAGTCTATGTCATTAAGACGAAATGTGAACCATAACCATTGAATTGTAAATTATATTTTAAAAGTTAATAACTTTTGTATTTTCTATGAATTTTATATATATATAATATATCAAATTAATCATCTTTTGATGAGCTTTGATTTAACATCCATATTGTATAAAAAGATAAATTATATTTATCTTTATAACAATAATAAAATTGTTGTTTAATATTAATTAGAAAAATAAAATTATTTATCAATTAATATATTTATATTTAAAGTAGTTATATGATATAAGTTATAAAATTTACTAAAATATAACACATGTAAGTCACACAAGTAACAAGTATCATTCTAAAATATATAATAATATATATTTTTTTGTAAAAAAGTAAATAAAATTTAAAATAATTTTTCTCATTAATTTTAAAATTTAAGAATAATTTTTTAACAAGTAGCCGTGTAATACACGGGTGTTGTACTAGTTAGTTATTAAAAAAAAAGTTGATCGAGTGAAGATTTTAGTGGGATTTTGAATTTGTATTTATGTAGTATTTAAAATATATTAAAATTGGTGTAATGGA